ACATCGTGTAATCGTAGGGGGGGGGGAGGGGTAGAAGGGGGGGGGGAGAGGAGACAGAAGGGTTTGAAGGGTCAAGGTAAGGTGCTACTAATTGAGTGAAATCTAAAAGGTTGCGTCTGAAAGATTCTGACCAAATTCCAGGAGATGTCTTTACCATGGAGACTTGTAACGGTATTTCTTCAATCCCAAACCACACATTGTGGTTTTCTCGACAATGGATGCCTTTGGATGTTATTACCATCGCTTGCAGTGTTGAACCGGACAAGATATTATTCCCCTCGTTTATGATCAATCTACACATGAAGGACGAGCACAGTGATGAACAGGTATTAAATTTAAAAGCCCTTACTGATAAAATTATCATGATTTTATGTGGAAAATATTTCGCATAAAGCCTCAGTTGAGGAGTTAGCCATGTTACAGTGTAGATTAACTTAAGGAGTCAGATAAATAGATGTACATTTATTGAACGCAACGGCTGATAAAACCAAATGATTTCTTAATACCACCCACTGACGCAGCACCACAGTGCTGAACTAAACTTAGAACTGAACAGTTAGACCTGAACTTCATAATACATCTGTTGCGTAACATCAGGAGGCTTTTTCTACGAGCTTGGGCCATGCACGAGGTTGATACATGTCATAATTGCCGAAGTACCAGCTACATTCAGGCGAAAAAATGACTTGAGATCGATAGGGAGAGACTTTTGGGATGAGCTCTCTGTAAGGAATCAGAACACTTGGCTTAATCTCCTCAAGTTCAAGAGGAGATTTGGTTGCTCTTTTACAGTGCACTGCATTCCACTGTATTCCACACTATTTTCCTTCTGTTCGTTGCGAGAATTATGCGTACATCTCATTAACGCCACAATGATGTTTATGAAACAAATGCACAACTACTACGGGTTGTTTTTCCTCAAAAGAGTTAGGGCACACTTCGCAGCTTCTCTTTGTAAGCTAGCTACAATGCGAATGTATCAGCGTATTAAATAGTGTCTCTTTTGCTTTAAATTTGGCAATGCAGATGTTTAATCAACCAAAGAACAAAGGCTGTGATATGGAGCCGTCGTTAGGAGCAGGTAAAAACTGGTTCACTCAGATAAATCAGTGTTTTTCTCTTTTAATCAATATCAGGTGCACAGCACACTTGGGGTTGTTCACTTGTTCATCTTCTCCTGCGCGAGAAGCACCTCCCTTGCAGAAGCAGTTCTTGGAAGACAGGGTTTATTCTCTTTCATCCACATAAACGTCCTTTCTGAAGGTAGGTTGGTGTTTGTCTGTCTCTTGTATCGCAAATCTCCCTCTTCGTGAGGCATTTTCCCTAATTTGCGGCTGATGTAAATGTTTCTTGGGACAAAACTATGCAATCTTGGGATTTGCGTGGCGATCGTTTGGTAGTCTCGTGTTTTCTCAGTGGAGATAAATCCGCCGTAAGATAGGGAGTTTTTTTTTCCCACTTCCACGGCGTTACATTTTTAAAACTGGAAATCCCCGTCAAGAATGATAACATTTCAACGAGGAAATCTTTCTTCGCCGTCTTAATGCCGCACGGAAGCATTCATGCACAGAGCAGAGTTAAAAAAAAGCTTCAGAACATCACAGCGAAAATCAACCCCGCACTTTTCACTGAGTCCAAGATACTCCAGGTGACCGTTACAAGTTGAATGTGCATGTTTGTTGTCTATCCACAAGATTGCTCCTTTCTTTCCTCTTTGACAATGTGGCCTGTGTCAGTCAGGTGTGTCAAAAAATGGTTTAGTTAAACAAGGTTTTGCCAAGGCCTTGAAGTCTTTGATTTTTATCTTATAAATGTATGACACAAAGGTGCGAATTTAGCGGCAAAGTGTTACAGCGTGGCTCGAATCACAGTTAGTTATTGAAGTAATTTCCTATTTGAAATCTTTTTGTTTCTTTGTATAACCGTTCTTCCAGAGGTTCGCAATCATCGTTAAAAAAAAAATAAAAAGGAAAAACCTAAGAACAACTGAGAAATGCACTACGGAGGCTTACGCAACAATATCCTAGGTTTTGTTTTTATTCAAAAAGCAGGTAACCACCCTGACAGAAAAATATCGTTTTCGCTGGGATTAGGAAAACCGCATTGACAGACATTATAACTTCTAAGGAAACAACAAAAAAAATTGGCCACCTGAATATAGGGGATCATGCGCAGTACTTACTTCTTGACAGATGAATGAATCCATTCACAACTATTAACATGTTCATGTGCGGGACAATAAACCACGTGGTACTACTCGCGTGCGGCGCTCAAACTTATTAAATACCAAGAAACCTGAATATGGAATACAACAAAGTTACTAATTGCCGAACCTTCTTCTTACTTGAATTACAAACGATATTGACAGTCTTAATAATTAGCCCATATCGGTCGGTTAAATGTAGCACTAATGCAACAAAGCTTATTGGGGATTCTATCAAATCGTTTGTTGTGTTTCTGGAATTTCCGACGCTCACGAAAAAAGCTATTTTAAAGGTTACGCGCTTATCAGAAGGAAACTTTAAAGGTTTTATCTCTCTCTCTCTCTCTCTCTCTCTCTCTCTAGATTCATCTCTCTCTCTCTCTCTCTCTCTCTCTCTCTCTCTCTCTCTCTCGGGCAGTCAATTCTAAGTAGTTCAGTTTTATTATGTGTTAAAGTTGGCAGATGTATAAGTCAGACGGGTGTGTTACAGTAGGTGTGTTTCATTAACTTAAGTATTAGCAAACTAAGTAAGGCTATGGGTTTGTGTTCCACAAATTACTTCAACCAAATTGTTAGTCACGTCTTGTTTTTTAGTAATTTTGTGACACATTAGAGAAAATGGTTTGAAAAAACAAGTGAGAAAATGAAACAATTCACCCAGTTCCTTTATGTACACCATGAATTAAAAATCTGATCATCTGAACTGGCTAAAAATTCGGAACAAATCTCGTCGGTTGGTACTGCTGAAAAAGCAGAGTTGATGATGAAAAAGTGCAAAAAATAACGCAACAATGGAACAGGGAAAAAGAACGGGACCGGCAAATCATTGCAGTTATTAGCTACGAGATTCTTGTTGTTCGCTCGTGTCCTTTTGTTTACTTTTCATGAAGATATCATTATTCACTTGCCACGGAACTAGTTTCACTGACAATAGTTCTTTATTTCGCCGAAACGTGTGTACAACAGGTTCCATGTTGGTATTGAAAAGAAGGTCCATACACGCGGCCTGCGCACAGCCATTATTATAAATTACCACGATTTAATGGTAATCTCCATTAAGCAATTTGTTCAAGAGTTAACTTTTCGCATCGAGACTGTTTGTCTTTGGAAGATGTCGAGCGCCATCTTTTCCTTTTCGTGTAGCGTCAGCTAGAAGTGGAAATAAATGCAAGGAAATTAATTTCTGTCGTGTTACTGAACAGTACACTGCAGACAACGGATTCCCGAGCGCCGTTTTTCTTAGTTTTTGGCATGTCAAGCCATTTTCTAACAATAAAAATGGTTGCCGGAAGAAATTATCATTTCCACGAAGAAATCGCGCCATCTGCAAAGTGTTTATCTAGTCTTAATTTTGCATTTTCTCTTTTATTACAGTCTTTTTATGAGCCGAGTAAGCTAAATCTCTGCACTAAAGCTTTCTTGTGGCTTTCCGCAGCTGCTAAACACCATTCAAAATTGTTTCTAACAAAAATATGGAGTTCCAAATAATTTCCCTATAATTTTAACAGCACTTGTTACATTATATACAATTTCTCTCCAACCCTTCAGAGCGAAATTAAAATTTGATGTTTTGTTATTAATGTTTTTGAACTCGCAATACTCAGGCTGAGAATGTCCCTTATGTATATAAACTCGCGTGGCGCTGTCGTCCGCCTTGTGTTTTCTTAAACGCACCCTTCGGCGTTTTATCAGATTTGAAGTTCGTGGTATTCCGAAGCTCCGAGAAAGTTACGGCCATGTAGGAGTTCGTAACCCATCGTCTTCAAGCTTTGGTATGCTCTAAAAATAATAATTTATCTGCTAAACAGTTTACAAAGATTCGACAGAGTGTCGCATAACAACCGTTGGTATCATGGTGGGATATCAAAACAAGTGTTTAAACATTGCGGTCGGAATCCAAAATTTTTTTTGATTTTCTTTGTTCGTTTCAAAGAAAGAGTGTTTCTGGGAGTAAATTAAACCAATTCATCATGGATATTTAGTTCTTTACGGCACGTGGGTGAGTTTACAAGAGTCTGTCATTCTGTAAACTATCAACAGTGGTTGTTTCCCATAAAGACGATTATTCGACTGTCTACTTCACAACCGGCCAAAATATGTCGTGCGAGACGTTAATCCACAGCCATGATTTCTGAAGACAGCTTTGTCTTCCCTTTGTTAGTTTCGCCGTGAGAGAAGTCTTGGTAATGAAAACTGGATCAGCAAGTGAATTAATTTAGCTGCCCTTCTGGTCGACGTATTGGAGATTTTAGCGAGGAATAAATTCCGCAAACAATCTTAACATGCACAAATTTTGTCGCGATCGCAACGGTGAATTTTGCCTGATCAGTGGCCACTGCCGATGCGACTTTAAACAGTTTCGGTAATTACTACTCTAATTAACAATTTTCAATGCAGACTCCTCCGTGGGTTCCCTTTTGGGGTGGAAATTGTCTGCGGCTATAAGGTTCGATTTTGATGAACGGCCGTTTTGGAAAGTGACAAGTTGGAGAGATTTGAATTGTTTTTGACAATCTAAACCAATAAACACCTTAATTTGGTTGATGAAAATAATTACGACTGTCAATTAGACTCCAAGGAAAAACCATTTCTCACGGCTCGCTTCTGCACCTGCGAGATTTGCAAGTGAAATAAGCTTTTAGACAATGACAAGGCTCAATTAGATATTGTCGTGTAGCCCTATCACGTTCACCTTCAGAAGACCGTGCACAATAGAAGTAGCGGTTTGTTCCAAAGGGACGTGAAGGAGGAATTATCTTGAATGAATCGTTCGTAGAGTGAATGCATTTCCTGTGATTCTCTGCGAGGGAAAGCGAGCTCGATTTCGCAATTGGAAGGCTTGTGGGCAGAAGTTGTGAAAGGTTTAGGACTTAATTTCCGGAAAAAGTCGGAGAGTCCTAGGAAGGCTATTGGAAGCGCCTCTCCTCTGCATACAAAGGTGGGTTTGGATATGTGCCTTTGGGGGTAATATTCATCATGATTTTGTAGGATTTTCATGTAGAGAAAAACATGACAAACATTGTAAAATATGTGGTTTCAACCTTCAATATATCGGCTTGTTTTCGTTAAGTGAATGTAATTCGAATTTATGTGAACGATCATGAATCATTAATTAAATTTAGCGAAACATTGTAAAGAACATTTCCTAGATTAGATGCCAATGTCGGTAGAGAGCTGCAATAATACTCTTCCGCCAAACCTACCATGAGAAGCTCTATCTTTTTTTTTTTCGGGGAACCTTTTTTTACAATAAAACAAACGGGTTCTTACAAAAGGTGACGTCCGAGTCAAATCAAATTAGTGTTATCTGAAGAATTCTTTATAAATGAAACGCTTTCAAATTATTCCCAAACGTAGCACATAATGATAGCGAAAACATTGCAAGAAATTCCTCTAGAAAAGACATTTTAAGACAAAGCAAAATTTTAAAAGTCATAAATCAAAGTTTGAAAGTAGCGCTCGGTACAGGTGAATCTTTGCTCGTGTCTTTGTAGACAGTGTTTCAGAAATCGTGATTTTATTTTTTATGTAATGATTACTCTTCTCGAAAACTTATCATAGATGAGCGATTTTCATAGCCTGCATATTTGCCGTTGTGTTTTCATGTTGCTCTCGTACCTTGGAATTTAGACGAATGTAGACCGCAATGTTTACAGCGGTGTAATTTCTCTGGTTGGGTTGTTTTAGGTGTCGGCAATTGCTTTCTGTTATTTTTTTAACCACAATGGTGGGTGTTTTCCAAATTGTATCGGTTTAAAGACCAGGCTTAGACGGTTCAAGATTGGAAAACACGGAAAAAAAATTCGAGAGAGAAATTCATGGTAACACCTAAATCAGTGCCTGAAAGCGGGTGAATTGTGTGGTGCTAGAAGTAGCAGGTTTTTTTGTTGTAGGTGACTACGCGCGAGCAATCTCGCGCCATCTGCATCTCTGTACCTTTGCATAACTTAAACCTGAGCTTGGCGATCTGCGGTTTGAGCTCATAGCACATGTTAATCTCGTGTGAATTGGGCCAAATTACGTCCATTTAAGGTCTACAATTCACCTGAGCTCCAGTTAAATTCCTGTTCGGTGTTTTGCCAGTGAAAAACAACCTAACCGTGGGATAACATTAGTGAATTTATTAAAATTTTTGTCTAATATACATGGCAGCTGGGTGCGCTTGTGTGTTGACTTTCACTCGGCTTCTCTTCTCGTTACGCATTCTTAACTTCTTTCTTAAAATATAAACCAAGGCGGCTGGTCGTACATTATCACACATGCTATATAACTGAATTAGACCCACACAAAGGGTCTTTGCAATAGTTGGAGATAAGCTATGTTCCACTAAGTGTATTCATTTAAAAGGTGCTAGTGAGTTGCAGGTGAACGATTTCTTTCGTCTTGCTGGTTTCGAACGCTTCGCTCGTAAGGCTCGAGAATTTGAGACTGTCTCCAGGCACTTGATATAGCCATAAATTTATGTTTAAATTGCGACATTTTTGTGCACTTTACAAAAAATAAACAATTTATGGAAAGACAATGTCGCTCTTTTGAAGCCGTTTACATAGTGTGGGAGAGAAGCCGTATCATTCGGAGTTTCCCTTGCAGCACGTGCCCGATGGATTGTTATTGCTTGTGTAGTACAGTGGTGTAAAAGCGTGCGTTAAATGGAAACCCATTTAGAAAAGAAACAGAAAATAATTTAGGAAAGAAACAGAAAATAATGAAATTGACAATAAAGAAGCTCATGTTTGTTAAACTGTAATGTAGCGTGGTGCGCGCGATTGGAAAGAAGATTACTTGAACCTCAACGTGTAATCGTATTATAGTAATCTACTGTTGATCTGCGCGAATGCTACTCAATTTACAGCACACGTACGTACTGTTGCTTCGTGAACGTAATTGGAAACATTATTTGCCCAAATTTAACATTTATTTTTATAGCTTTTTTCTATTTATTTTGTTTCGTGAGAATTTATTATTAGTTTATGCTGATAACGTGTATGATCGAAAATGAGCGTGTTGGACCGTGAGGGAACATCTAAGTTAACCCATTTCCACGAACGTGAAACTTTGCTGACAAGGAGTCTGAACTTTCCATGAATTCGGTTCCTGTTACGTTCATTCATGTCACTCTGTCTCGTATCTCGACTCAATCGATCCAGTTTTTGTGGTACTTATTTTCTTTCTTTTGAGTTTTGTTTCACAAGAGAGGAAGGCTTACGTTTAGTGACAGGAGTAAAAAGGGGGCTTTCAGTAGTTGCTATGTCTCACAAAGAAAGATATGCCTGGTCCAAATTTGTGTTGTCGGAAGTCAACGAAGGTTTAATATTCTACATCCGGTATGATGCACCAAGCATCTCTTAGTTTCATTTCGCTTGTGTGCGCGATAAAACTCGCCGTTGTTGCGAACTGTTTTCATTCTTCTTTCTCTACATGAAAATTTCATCAAGGAGACAATAGAATTTGAGACACAAACCAAGTCAGTGTTTTAAAATCTACAATGTGCGTGCTTTACATATGGGTTACAACCGTCGATCATTTAAGCCTGAAACTTCAGACGTTTATGAAACCACTAATTGCAATGTACACCAATAGCGATCTTAAGTGCTCATGTTACCCGAGAGTTCAATGCGACAAAGTGGTGTTTTTTACTCAGATCTGGACCTTTTAACAATGACATATACTGAAGTGCTTATTCCGTCGAGCGACTGCACATAGAAGGGTTTTCTTTTTCTCTCTTTTTTCTTAGGCTTCTAACAGAAACACTCTGAGCGATGCACCTGCGTCCACTGGTTTGTGGGTTTACCCCCCAAGGGATGCCTTTATGGCAAATCTCCTTGTGAATCTTTTGACTTAGTAACAGCATATTCTTAAACAGGTAGGTTTAAAATGCACCATAGTCAGACCAGCTGACGTTTCAATGCGGAGTTCAATTAATACTCTGCCTTTCTACTCTTTTCGCGCTGCTAACAATGCGTTTCTTCTTTTGTTTATGGTTTTGTTACAACCAGTATTCCATGAAAAGTCAAAAACGTCAACGTAATGTCTTCTCATAGTAGTTTTTAATTTTTTTTTTTGAACAAAATGTAAGGTATTCTGTGATAAAAGGTAACAAAATATATGTAAAAAAACACAAAACATTAATGCTAGCATGAAAGCGTGACATTTTGGTCATGGTTAGAGACTGTTTACTGTATTTCTATTGTAATGTAAACTTCCTTGTAATTTATATTTGCGGACGGACTGACGTCGAGGTCAAGTTATATTTCAATGCCTTGTATTTCTTGTCAAGGTGCACTTAGGCCTTCCGGAACATTTCCTAATTTTTATCTTCACGTGTGCAAACTGAATCATCGATCATTCAGATTGTGGTCAAGGAACGGGCGCGGTGTAGTCAGTAGCATTGCGTGCACTTTTTAATACCACAGAAGTTAATTGTTTATTTTGTTAAGTGAAATTCTTCACAGGCTCATGGCTTATCGGGTTGAGGAACTCACCTCGTTTATTGTTGTTTTAACCTTACGAAAGGTTTTAGGTCCGAGTATTAAGCGATTAGGAGAATTGATACTTCCCTCAAGGCATGATGAACATGCAACATCTCTTTTCATTATCAATACGTAATTCAAAAAAGATCAGACGGTCGAGAAAAGACAAACTCATCAGAAAGTTCTGTCTTGATATAACACCACATTCTCTTTACTAATTTGCAAGGACATGTATCGCAGCCAGTAGGGAGAATAACTTATAATATCGAGGGACTGAATGCTTCGTTAGCAAGGAGTTTTTCCAATGTCTTGTTATCTTGCTGTTACAGTTCGCTTCTACTTATTGGAACCTCGAGGTGATTGATAGTAGGCTAAGGAACTTGCGGACTTTATTGTCCAGTTTTGTCTTAGGATGTTCAGAGAAATTGAGTTATATAAAGCAACGTTACTTTTCTTTTCATGAATGCTAGAAAACCTCCATCTGGGGTTGCAGATGAAGCGGGTTTAATGTGTTTCTAGAGCGCCCAACAGAAAGTACAGCGCAGATCTTTCCGTGAAATGACAAATTTACAGCTTCAGACGTTAAAATTAGGTGGTCTACTGCGGCATCAAACACTGCAAAATGAACCATAAACTGGAATTCCGAGTTACAGAGATTTATATTAGACTTGAACTGACTAAACTAACAAAATCGCCAATTTAAACCTTCATCTCAACGTTTTACGTTTTAGAACAGCCATCAACACAGTTCAATTTAGGGGTCATCTCAAATGATACGTTACCCTAATTGTCAAAAGTATGGAAGATGTTAACATCATCTCGTTGGAAATTCAGCTGCTTTCTCTTCGTCCCACGCTCTTGACAAAGCGAATCATAACTTTCTTCGTGTCATAACTTGTTATAGTATAGCATTATCTTTTTGCTAAATGGGAACCTTTTACCAACGAAGTTTTTTGTGTCGTTTTTTGTTATTAAAGAGTGAGAGAAATTTTGCAGCTGAAGATGAAATCGGCAGAATCTGATCTTATTTATCCCTGATCCGGGTCTGAAGTATACTTTTTTTGTGAAAACTATTTCGATTGATTCTTTGGCTCGAATCTCTTCGTGTGGCATGCTAGATGGCCTTGATAACCTGTTCATTATCAGGAGTTATAGCTCGCAGGATTACGATTTAGACTTGTTTATAAGAGTAAACAGATATCCAAAGTATGTTGACAGAACCGCATAAGCAGGTCACGAAAGAGCAAGCTTGTCGATTGCATGAGTCGTAGGCCTCAGATGGAAAAAAATCTTGAAAGAATCGCCCCATAAAGTTTATAGAAAATCGTCAAAGAAGTAACAAACTCACTCCCAAACATGAATGGTTAGAGTGGGAGAATATGGCCGAAAATTTCTGTTGACGTAACAAACTTTTAACTAACGGTAGTTCCACGCATTTCCGCATGTGATAAGTGTGCCTTGTCACAGTAAATGCATGTTACGGAGAGCATAAATTTTTTGTCGTCTTCCATCCGCTTAATTAATTAATCTTCTTGATCCGCAAAGATTCTCGCGTCTTTTTTAGTTTTTCTTTCTACTTTGGTCTTCTTCGTCCCTTGCAAACTACCATTTTAAATTTCTTTTTCTTTCAACGAAAATTTCCGTGTTGCAAAAAAGAGTCATGTGGGCTAGTTTAATTTTCATAGAACACAAACCTCGTCAGTTTTTAGTCTACCCTCCTCCTCCCTCAGAGGAAAATAAACACAGATTACACTTTGCAAACAGTTTGAGAATTACGCGAAACTGTAGGTGAATATGACGCTTTTTGGATGGCCTCACGAGCTTTATGAGTTCAGTTCTGAACAGTTCTGTATGTTTTTTTCTTGTGGATTTTCAAGCGACACCGTCACAGTGGCTGAAATTCATACAGCTGCATTTTGACTCATGCCAGAATTCATGCCAGAAGGTGATACCATGTTGTCATTACTCTCCTGAATAACACCGGGCAGAGATTATGAAAGGCGAACATATCAAAGTATTTCTTTCTACTTTGGTCTTCTTCGTCCCTTACAAACTACCATTTTTAAATTTCTGCATTAAAAGAAAATTTCCGTGTCGCAAAAAAGAGTCATGTGGGCTAGTTTAATTTTCATGGAACACAAAACTCGTCAGTTTTTAGTCTACACTCCTCCTCCTCCCTCAGAGGAAAAATAAACACAGGTTATACTCTGCAAACAGTTTGAGAATTCGTGAAACTGTAGGTGAATAAGAAGATTTTTTTGTGTCGCCTCACGAGCTTCATGAGGTCAGTTCTAATCTGTATGTTTTTTTCCCTGTGGATTTTCAAGCGACACCGTCACAGCGGCTGAAATTCATACAGCTGCATTTTGATTCATGCCAGAATTCATGCCAGAAGGTGATACTATGTTGTCATTAGTCGCCTGAATAACTCTGGGCAGAGATTATGAAAGGCGAACATATCAAAGTGTAAATATCTGCCAAAAGGAGATTAGAGTCGGTGATTATCAAATCCATGCGACTAAAGAAATACCAGTTTTCCTTTGTATTTTTTTTTTGTCGTCAAGTGGGATAGTGAGTGCTTGTCGCTGTTCTTTAGACTTTCTTAACGAGCAACGAACAAATCGATCACCACAGGTACTGAGATTTAATTTTACGTTTTTTCCCTTTCTTTGCAGCTCATGAAAAGACGTTGTCAGACTTTTGTTGACTGGGACGTAACGACTCGACGATCAGTGATTCTGTGGGATTAAACTGTTGCTTCTTGGTTTCGATCGTTGATTAATTCATCTGACGCAGGTTTGAGTCCGTTTATGTTTCACTAAAGATAATTTATTCACCACAAAAGGCGTAAGTCCAACAGACGTAGTCGGTTTATGAACGTTTTCTTTCCCAAGTTTCGTCCAGTACCATTTCTTGGCCGACCATACGGCACCCACAGAGGTGATTAAGATGCAATTTCTCTATGCAATTTCAATACATTATTTTACTCAGCGAGCAGGTTAAGATTGAGAAATAAAGAAACTTCATGGTTGGAATGTGATACCTTGATATACACCAAATTCTCTTAACTTATTCGTAAGGAAATATAGAGTAGCTAGTAGAGAGAATTCCTTCGTAGATCTTGGGATTTAAAGGGTGATGCGCGCACATTACAAACGCAGGAAACTTAGTATTCCTTTTTTTTTTTTCTTTTTTGTCCATAGTAGTAGCAATTGTCAATTCAACTGTTGTTAGTAAACTACTGTAGTTTAACGGGATGGCCCAGTTTGCGCCTAGATGTTGGGTTCATATTTCTATAATCGTAGAGAAACAAACAACTGAATTATTATGTTATCCTAATTGGTATGTGAGGGCCACACATCCATCTTTACCACATGATACAACTTTAAAAAGGTTTTCAAACGATCGTCGGAAGTAATCTGGGATTAGGTTAGTTTTCTTTTACCACGCTCTGTGATTGGTCCGGAAATCTCGTGCCACCATCTTAACCCATCAGATGCAAAGCTAAAAACAATCGCGGCTTAGTCGCTCACGTTTTCCCGCGCTTCGGGCGATTGATATGTTATCACATTTAGTTTTCTTTGGTGAAATTTTCCTTTTATCTGATTGGTCGTTACGATGTTCGCTGCTGGGTTTACGACGCTCATTCGAGAAGCATCGGATTTAGATCAACCGTGAACTTCGCTAAACAAAGTTGCTTGATGACTCTATGACAAGAACGGTTCGGTCGTGATGTATATCACTTGGAGCGCTTTTTTTTCTCGGCACTCACCTCTTCCCTTGCTTTAAGATGGATAAGCTCTTTTTTGATCGGATTTAATGGATCACTCGAGTTACCACGCAGAGCAAAAATGCTGGTACCAAGGGCTTGGTTTGAAAATCCTTCTAGTGCCTTGATAGCGCAAAATAAGGTTCAATCTTGGGAAGCCAATTCTGCATACCCGCTAGTTAGGAGAAAACATGTTCTCTATGTGGCGGAATCAGCCAGCCGGCTGAGAGAATTATTTCCTCCCAACGTCACTGACGAATGGTGCGTTGTTGGCGTTGAACATAGTTGAATAATAACCAATAAACAAACAAATAAACTGATTGTAGATACGAGAAGATAGAAAATTACCCAACGTTTTCTCTCCTGAGATCTAAGTAACAGTTATTTGCAATTTCAACAAGACCTTTCTTTTGAGTTTAGCGCTGAGAATTAGATGCTAAATTTGCAACTTGCGCGGGGTGTGACTTCGCCGATTAAGGGCAGGTTGGACAAACAACCCTCCCGTAATATGCACTATAATTTCAGTAACCACCACATTTAGGATTCCTGACGAATGTCAGCGAAGGAGAGTAAGAAAACATCGTTCTACTTCGCGTGGCTGGCTTTTTTGTGTGCTTTTTGAAGTGTCAAGAAACGGAGCCGCGAAAACGAGTGATGATGCTACGAAAGGCTTTGGACGGACGAGTGGCCTCGCCTTTCATCTGTTCAAAGCTCACGCAAATCCGCCTGTTAGGCCGCAGGCTAAAATCCCTCGGTCTGGGAATACGATGGCTCCTTACCGTAACATGCCAACGAGTTGTTGTAACAAGTGTCAGTGCTGTTACATTTAATCCAGGGCACATGAAAAGTGATATTCGATATGTTTCCTGGGTCACTGACAACGTTCATGAATGATTTACGGATGTCATGACACACAAGTTGTCTCCAGCTGTTGTCGGTCTTGTTACTGCCGGACAGATGGGGACTACATGGATTGTAAAATTAATTTAGCATGATCAGGCTGCTGTATTCAGGTGTGCAAGTACAAAGAATAAAACAATGTTTCTCCCGTGAGAAGCTCTATTAGCTTTCCCACAAGATGTTCTTGTGAGCTGGCTTGTTTTTTTCTAGATTGGCAAAATGAGACAAAGTATGCGACCGATATCAAATGTTTATTTCGACGTAAGCGAACATTGAGAACTTCTCATTTCATAGGATAAACATGATAATACTTCTAAGTGAGGTTACCCCAGGTTCATTGTCAAACAGCTTCATATATTTCTCTGAAATAATGCATTGACATGGATGAGGAGTAACACTGCTGTCCGCCGGAGAACAGATACAGGTGATGCATGGTTCTCGGCGAACTCAGCCTGGGCCCTCTGATTCAGGCCAACTTTCTCATTTTTTTTTTTTTTTTTTTTAATATTTCGCCCGAGGTTTCCGGTACTTGACATGCATCAGAACAGGGAGTTTAGCGTGAGGTAAACAGTTCCTCTGGTTTTGTCTACTAGTTCTTCCAATCCAACAGAAATTACGAAAAAAAAAAACCATCTTACGAAATGACACAGAGTAACGGTGGTGAGTAGCTTCGATCTGGAAAAAAAAATGGCTACAGGCAGAGCGAGCAATTTAGGTTCTGCACCAATTCTCCAAAAGGAAATCTCCACCAGGAGTTTTCCGACATTCTAAAGTTGACCATTTTGGCTTTTGGAAAGTTTTTAACTGTAAACACGAAGTCTAAAGCACAACCGTGAGCAAAAAAATTATTTTAGCGGTAATGTTGTATAAGAATTTGCAAGAAAAGTTGCACTGAACGTGCCGTTTAGTTTAAGGCCAAAAGTGCTCTTTGCGCAGAAAGCTGGTCGAGTTCCAGCTTATGTTTGTTAGTATTTCGTTTATGATGACAGAGAAGACAATGTGAAGAGACTTGAGCCAGCTCCTCTCTCAGTTGTAGTCGGTATCCTGACGCAGGTGTTCTTATCTTCTACCCTCATTAAAAATTAACATCTTGCGTATTGGAACAACATTTTTTTAACTAAGTGCCAAGAATATCTCATACGGTTTGCATAGACGCGTTACAATGTAATTACCATCGATTTGGTTTCGTCTCCCGATGGAAAATTCGCGTTTGGGACTCACTGGTAAGACTGTGATGAAGTTCAATGCCACGTGCGAATTAACTGGCTTGGTGGCAAATAGCGACAGTTCTCTGATTTCACTCTCTGTGGAAGGTTTTTTTTTTCGTGTCTTTGTCAGTTTCCGTTAGAACATGGCATTCTGTGAGAAGTGCATGGTACGACACGCCACACTTTAAAAGAAATCCAACTGCCTACGACCCGCGTTTTTTTAGTTCACGAGTCTTTTAAAGTGTTGACGACCAGTTTGGATGTCCCGTCAACGACGCAAGTTCACGTAAAACGTGTACGCCTGGTCTTTGTGTGTGCGTTTACTGACAAATAATGGGGAAATTTCTTACCGTCATTGTAACACCTTCGTGTATTCTCCCACGCAGTGTTTATTTTTTGGATTCAGTCGAAGTTATAATGCAATTTTATTATGTCTCGTAGAGGATGTATTTTTTGCGTTTCTTTACAACCCGAGAAACCTTCTGTGCCCTTTTGCTTTTTTTTTCCGTAACCAATCTTACTAACTGCGTGGTGAACTCGCTTATTCAAACAAAGACGCATTCATGTGAGGTTATGTCTCTTCACTTTTGCAGTTTGAGTTCAGATCAATCTATTCCGTAAAGATGCTCCTAAGATGTTCAACCGTGAGGAGATCATTTGTTTTTGTTAGCAGTGTGCTGAGCTGCCTTTCTTTTTTAGCAGGTGAGTGTACTACATAGAGACTCACAGTTAAACTTAAGAGTGTCCTCGTTCTATTAGCGCTCAAGGGCAAATTATTGCGCAGTCCATTCGCCGCTTGCAAAGTCCGTACTATGATTCTCAGTTATTCACCCTCAAGTTGCTTGATATGGTCGAATCATTGCGTGGTTTGTTATTGTTTTCATTCCACTTCTGCTCAAAGACAGGTTCATTATATGCCGTAAACGCGCCAGGACAGGCGAACCATGCACGTTTCCTCAAGCGTACGTCAGATGTTCGTATAAACGCGAGTATAGTTTAGACAAAAAAGACGGGGAACCTGAGATGAAGGTCATTTTTTCCCCTGAGGATTTAGGGATAACTAACATATCACAAACATTCTTCATACGCGGCAGTGTAGTTCGATAAAGGTTATTATAAGCCGCTTGGTAACACATTGCAGTGTGCAGTGCAGCCGTACTCGTAAAAACTTAAACTACATAACATCATAGTCACAAACTGACATTCAAGATTTAAACAAGCATTCAAAATTTCATCCTTGGTCAAGGTTAGATCTCTTGCTGTTTTGTTTTTTTCTCAGTGACTGAAAAGGAGATACGCGCTTTTCCTTAATTCACAATACCCACAGTCAAGAAAAGCAAAATATACAAGCAGAACTTTCATTTCTTTGCATTTTATCCTGTTTTACCGCGGTTCTACGCATTTGTGTCTTTGCTGGTAATCTGCCTGGAGACGAAAAAAAACCTCGTGGTTGGGTTGTTATTAAAGTGTTTGAAGGAATTTCTGGTGGTTCTATAGACTAACAACACGTGTATGTTTTTAGGTCTAAGTTTAATACAAAGACTTGCTTCAGATTGTTTTTCAATCGTGCGGATGTAAGATGGTTGCGGTGTAATACACACATTTTAAACTTTTGAACGACTCCCTTCGGTCAGAATTCTGACTTAAAGCTGACGAACGATCAAATAGTGTTTTGTTGTTTTTTTTTTGCCCCACAGCGCTGGTTCGCCAGGCAACAGTCATGAAAACAATGCTCTTAGAAGATATCAGCTGAGTACTATCTCTGACATTTTGAATGAACTTAACTGTGACGTTTTAAATGAACATAACTGTTGGTGATTATGAACTTGTATCGATATTTCTCAACTCGATGTTTTCTACTTCTAAACGTGTTTCGAATTGACAGATTTAATTATCGACTTTTTGTTAAACAAATTGGTGAAATGTAACAATAGTACATCAATAATTCAATTGTTTTGCCGATTTGGGAGATTACATAAGCATGACTCATGCAGCCTTTTCAGAAATTGAGTTTCGCATGACATAACATAAACCCACTAAAATCAACGTCTTCATTTTGTTGAAACCCTATAGTTTTTGTTTTTAACTGGACGTTTTTCTTCTTACTATCGCCGGAGTACCTGGTAACAGGTTGTAGTAATCCACTGGTGACTGAATCGCTATTTTAAGACGGTTATTGTCTTTCACCTTTTAACAGTTCACAATACTCAAAGCTAAAAAGAAAACGAACCAGCGTAAAGTTCCAGCGAAGTTTTCCGGGCAATAACCTATTCTTTTATTCCACTCGAATGAAATCAGCGAATTGTTTATTTTAAATGGTTTCGTCTATTGATACTTACACTATTAACGTTATCAGACTGGCTGTCATCCAAATTTCTCTTGGGCTTTTTAATAAGGGAATGTAATGGTGCTCCTCCTTTTTTCCCCCCAAGGCAAAATCGATACTAAACCAATGAATTTATTTCGATAGTGCATAAACCAGAGTTTCATTTACATGATTCAGTTTTCGGATGTTTTCCTTCCATCGACAGCGTCAATTTACTAGCAAATTTAAACCTAACGAGTGACGACCAATCTCGAAGCTAGTGTTGATGATTCAATTACCCCAAAGTGGGTGCCAAGCGTAGCACTGTTTTTTCTCGTTTTTGTTTTTGGTTCTTTTTTGCTCCCACTAATTTTGATCCTTCTTATTTGTGTGTGAAACGCAGACATGTCTTGCGCCACTTTGCTCGAATCTTCAAGTATGCGAAGTCTGGCGGCAGAAGATTCGAGTGGCTTAGGCCGTGTTTTTTTCTTGTTTTTTGTTGCTCAAGCATGTCGGTGTGAATCAAAATGTAAATGACTTCAATTCTGAAAAGAAAGATCTTGAGCCTCTACGAGAAATTACTGCATCAACAATTAGATTGCGGCTAATTTATCTGTAGAAATCGCGTAGGATTTAGTGCTACAGTCTAAACGCCGTTTAATCTTGGGTTCAGCAGAAGAAAGAAAATTAATCGGCACTTGAACAATGTGAGAAGATTTAGAACCAGTATAAGGCGTCCAAGGCGGGTGGAACGTAACTACTTTATTAATACTGGGAGTTAAAAGAGGTGACGTTGTTTACTATCAACAGAGTAATTTGTGAATAACCATTGCAAACCTTGAAAACTGAGGTGAGAGGAGACAAGGATGAAACCTTTACGAGACTGCGCCTTAAACAGAGAAAACTGTTTTTTTACTGCTGTTGCACTCAGTGCCAATTCGAAAAGACAAGGGCGCGCCGCGGAAGCTTTGATGAGTAAGCACCAATGCCAACGAGAGCAAACGAAAATTGTCGATAACCCCCGAGACTCTACAACAGTGCGTTTTTATGATGTAGTCTTAGAGGTTGCACGATGAACTACTCTTCATGGAACAAGAGTAATTTGTGTAAATGAATGTTTCCACTTCAAAAGGTGGCTCGGACCTGGTTGATTTATATATATATATATATTTTCATTTCCAGGTGTAGACGGTGTACCTGATGTTCAACACAAAGATGTTTCCCACAAGTCCTCGACAGATGAGGAGGTAGGTTTATTCTTGTGTTCAAGGTAAAGTGCAGTCGCGTACTCTAGAGCCTGCGATCTCTTTGGCCAGCGCCCCCTTCCTACGGCGCATGTGAAAATAATGGCGCGAGAATGGATAAAACGCTCCAAGACTCAGGGTCAAACAAGAAAGGTTTTGCCTTACAAGGAATTTAGGATTGGGCGAGAGTTCTGTCAGCATTTATCAACTATGGTGGGATTTACGAGGTAAAAGATTAGTTCTTACTGACGCCAAGAACTTTCAGGAGGAACTAGGACGGAAAAGAAAGCCAAATAATTGGTTGCAGGGTCGATCAGGTCGTTCAGAGAGAAAAGTTTAAGAGCAAACACACTCTTTATTTTAGCTCTCTTTTAAGTTTAAGTTCAGACTATTTTAACTATGGACATCGCTTTACAATTCTTCTTTGCCACAGTTACCCAACGGGGAAGGGGGGGGGGAAGAAGGGGGTTAAGAGTAGGGGGCCTCTAGCCTCTACCCTCAGACGAAGGAAGGGCTGCCGACCCCCCTATTTTTCGGTGATGCTCGCAGCATGGAATTAATGCAGGAAAATGTTTGTCTCGCAAAATCATTTCACCTATCGCCTTCACGGGATCGTGTATAGTGTTGATTAATTTCTTTTTGAACAACTGCTACAAATCAATCACGAACACACGGGACGCAGCGTTAAGACTGCAAATTGCAAAGAGGTTTGCTTGTGCAAACGAACTGTGCAAAGGATACTTTGGATAATTTGAGTAGGGGTTATCCACTTGACCCACCGTACAGTAAGTCCCACCCCTCCCCTCCCCTGCCCTTTCCCGCACCTTCTCTGCTCTGTATCTTTTCATTATTCGAACGAAAATCAAAGGATGACTACCAGGATAAAAACGCCTTGAAGCCAAGGAAACTAATATTCAAACATACCGCTGGTATACTGAGCCGAGTTTATTGAAGTTGGACGAGCTGTAATCCTGGTTTAATTGCTATGGCAACACCAGGATTTGCATTCAGTTATCTTGAGATTATAGTTAATCGGGTTTTGAATAATCCGTCCTGGATACTTTAGTCAGAGGAATTTCATTTCAACCATCTCCATGTCCACTTTGCCCCTTGCGAAGGACGGATGTTCGAAACTGGTCAACTTTTTCCAACTTTTTTAGGCGGATGATTTTCTTTCGTCATCTTCAAAAATTGAAAAATATGATAGAAGTGAAAAATGAGTCCTCCTTTCAGACCTGACCTACTGTATGCATCAGTTGTACGTCGTCGCTCCAGACGTCACTACTGAACACAATTTTTACGCTTGATATGTTCCACCAATATCAACAGAGCTTTACAAACAAACAGTCGGGCAGCGCCATTAAAGTACTAACAAGTCGTCATTAACATATTTATAAAGTCAATTTCGACATCATTGCACGGTGAACGTCATTAGATCGCTTGTTAGCAGTCAGAGAAGGCTTAGCAACTGAGCGATTTCTCCATGGCATAGCTTTGTAGTCTGAGAACTGGACACGTTTTGTTTTCGCATGGAAAGAGTCAAACAGCTTAGTAATAATCCTGAGGTCGTGGGCAGACACAGTTAAGTCTCTTCGAGTAACAGTCATCGGATTCAGACAAGGTAACTAATTAATCGATTCTTGGTACCTTCTCGCAAAATATGCAAGGGAAACTGTCACAAAAAACTGCAGTGCAACCATAAATTTTTCTCGTTTCGGTTATGTGAGCTCGGATAGTGTCTGCACTCTCTAAATGAGTAGAATCCTAACTCAGTGAATTGTGTCAGGTATCGACCACCCGTAAATCTAATCATCTTTACTTTAAGATTTGTAAACGTCATTTGCTTTAATCTTGGGGTTTCCTGTTATTCTGAAGTCTTTACACTGGATGGAAAGAGGCCTGTGCTGATTAGATAACACATTCTTGGAAGCCATGGTTATTTCTAACACTTGATGTTCCTTTAATTTCCCAAGAGCCATTACAACTTTTATCTATTGGAATGCATAAGAGGTATGCTTACTGCAATATTTCACACGTCAGTAAGTTTCTCTGTAGTTTGCTTCGAGACAACTAATTTAAACAAATTCCTGAGACTATTATCGGTGAACGGTACCATAAACCTAACCGTCTCCTAAAAAACTCTTCATAGTTGAAAGGAGAGCCTTTTATGACTAAAACATTCCTCTTAGCAATTTAGATTCTAAAATTAGACTTTTATTGTTCGATTATAATCTTCTTTGTCAAAACAAAAGAAGCTACATTCCATCGTTCATCAGTAAGCGCATGATGTATATACTCTTGTGATACTACCAGCTAGGACCAACTTGTCAAATTTCCGTGTATAATCGCTTGAATCAATGCAGTCAAGAAAGTCACTAATATCTTTTAATTGAATTCTACTAGCGCTGCATTTAATTTTCCTTTTCGAAATGGTTGTTTTTTTCTGTGAAAACATATTGTAGACACCGATTGAACTTAAATTAGAATTGTATTATGATATTGTGAAACGTTGACTGATCTCTTCGTGTTTGCGTTCTTGTAAGAAGTAGAAAGTCGTGGGCGCAATACCTCGTCGACAGATGTTTTTGGACGCGAACGAGGGAGTTGGGTCGAATACACGAAATTAAGGTTTTCAAGTAAAATTTTGCGAAAGTAATATTAAAAGACCAATTTTGCCTTTCTTAAAGGTTTTTTTTTTCTGCGCAAAATCCATTTCTGTTAGGAAGTCACTAAAGGAAAGAAGCAAGAAACAGAATAAGTCAAATCGCGAGGAAATCTTTGCTTTCCTGTCACAACCATTTTCCAGCGAAGTGTTCTGCAAGCCTCGATTTCATTCACTCGACCCAGTTCACGTTGAAACGTTTTCAACAGGGTTTACTAGGTGTAAAACTACACACACGTTGCAAGGATGACTTGGTCAGCAGCATTTTCCCGTGCATTAGTCTCGATGAATTTTCCCGCCATAAATCTCGATGTATTTTTTTTGGTTACTCAATGGATCGTTGATATACATAGGTAACTTGTTGTGACTGGCCGTCATGGTTTACCCTGCTGACTGCTATGACTGCGTGTGGATTTCTTTTAGGACAAATGAACCAAAACAACGCACGAAAACGCGGGAGAACTCGTATAATCGAGTATTATCAATGATGGCTCTAAATTAGGAATAGCTTGTTGAAACGAGGTTAAGAGATTTTGCACTGTTAACAGAGGCAAGCAAATGGAAATCGAAGAGTTTTGAAGTTTTCCTCTTTTTTTTTCGCACTTTTTGAATACTCTTGTCAGCTCGGCCAGTTAAGGTTTTTAAACAAACCAGCCAATCTCTAAAGTAATTCAAGTTGTGATCCTTGAAATGCTTAAAATCGCAGTCAAATTCAATTCATTTCAAATGTGAGGGAAGGAGCGCGCAAAATTAAATGGCCTTCTGTTATACAGTATTACAACAAACGCACCTTCCTAACAAGAGCGCTGCCGGGTACCTTGCCTGAAAGAAAAGAAACTTGGATCAAAAGGATAAGATTGTCATTGTCACGTTTAGCCAAGAGTCAGGAAATGGAACACCCTAAGATAACCCCTAGTTACGCCTTTCCTGTACCCCCTAGGAAACATGTGTAGCTATGAAGATACTTCTCTTAAGTTATCACTTAATAACAGGTGGAATAGTCTGGAGTTTGTGCTCATGTATAGCCATTTTGGAAAAAAAATTGACGAGCATGGCTCTATTTCACACGGCATTTTACCTTGGAAGCGTATGTAGTTGTCCCATGCTAATCTGGCGACGTTTTAAAAATTTTCTATTTCTAGACCCGCATCCAAACACAGGACTCAACCAAAACACTCAACTCACCACTGAATTTGCTGCAGCTCAGCGGTAGAGTATCCGAGTGCGAATCTTAAGGAAAAGAGTTTGATTCCATGTAGAGCACTCGTTCATGGCCAAACATTAACATCTTTTTGTATTTGGCTGATAAAACTCAAGTAATTGCTGGTTGTAATTTGTTCTACAAGCGGTGTATCGAGACGCTGTCTCAGTCTCTCAGATGAAGGTTAATTGCCCTTGCTTTAAAGTGTCATTTAGCGCTCTGAGCAGAGCTGAGTCACAGATTCACTCATCTAATACTGCCACACCCACGGTTCATATAGCTTAACCTCGTCATTTACGAGCCGTTTTTGAATTGTGGTCCAAAAAGTCAAAACAAAACCAGCCACACCTGCCCTTACGACTATGCGGTGTTTATAAGTTACGTTCAGCTCGGTGTACATGTTGTATCGGAATTCCTTTGTTTTTCGACGTCGCGGCAGATGGCTTTGTTTGCGACAAACATTTGTTCATTTTGACTTGCTCTAAGTGGTCTACTAACCGTTTAAAGGACTAAAGCATTAATGCTTCTGATGTCATGTTTGTGACTTTTGCGCTTTGATATGTTTTCACAATATTTGCCTTGAGGTGCAATTCGATCAAAGTGGCAATGTGCTTTTGCACGCCTCAGTAGGTTTGAAAAGTTAGTTTTTTTTATGGTTTAACCTTCTCCGAGACAATTTCTGTGTAACACAATCGGGATTAAAAACATTCCTTTAGAAGTGATCTCAATGATAAAGCTCTGAATTCCTTTTCCAGCAGTTGGCCGTAGCCAAGTAACCTGTACTCTTAAATTTCTATAGAAACTGCGCTGCGGCGATGACGATACAAACAGACGCCGTTCAGGATGTAACCACTCGAATCGGTTTCAACTGAAACAAGTCAAACCAAAGGCTTACCAAACAGCTTAACGCACCACGCAGTGGTTCTGTAATTGTCAGCTGTACAACAGTATTGTAAAGACCCTCCTTCCACAGGTGTTCGTGTAGCTAACTTTGCATAACAAGCACACCCTACTCGATGGCACGCTTAGATCCTTTGTTCTAGAACAGCTGTGGCACGTGGTCGCAAGGAGGTCGAATTCCGCCGCTGTTTTGTTTGACTTTGTTAACGAGCTCGTGTCGTTTTACATATATTTGCCCCCGAAAATCCCAAAGAGGATCGAATGTTCTTGCTCTGATTATCAAAGATAACGTTTTCTCACTTACTGCATCTAAACAGATTTGTTGGTGACGAAGCGAATATTTTGTCGCGGAGAAGTATGTAACATACACGTGCCGTCCCTATTATATTTTAAGCGTCCTTACGCAACCAATTGATCCGTTTGATAAGTGAGAATTTTGTTTTCCTCTGAAATATTTTTCTCTATCTCAAACATTTTAGCCGCTTTTTGTAAGTGTTTTGACTTTTCTTTAATACTTTATATACCTTACTGGCGTCTGACCTGTCGAACACCGAGGCGCGAGATAGCTTTGCGTGTCTTGAGGCATATTGGCTATTCATACAACCATTGTTTTAAAAGCCATGTGTGCGCTTTTGTTTGGACTAATACAAGAACTAATGGAAAAAGTATTAGTATTGATGGCGTCTTTTAATATGCAAATTCAAACAACTTTTAATGAACTCGAAATGTTAATTTCTTCACTCAATACCACGCTACTTGAGAAGTGATTTTGTTTCGTAGCTCGTTATTGCAAAATCGACCCAAGATATTTGCTTTTGTTGTCATGGGAAAATATCGTTTCGTAAGACAACTCACGAGTTTCTCTTTTGAAATTTCCAATAAAATTGCATCTTAAATGCCTCGGATGTTAATGTTATCACTGCGCCGTTAAGACGCGCCAGTCCTATCTATTTCGCACGCGTTCTTTAAAGCACTTGCTCTTGATCTTTATACAAAGGACACCGGAAAGATGTCTCCGTTAGTTTTGTTTCAGGTCATATCTGATGGATATAATGAAAACAGTTTCCGTGCTCTCGTTACGCATTAGTTGAATGCCTCCGGCGATATTAGAAGCTAAATACGATATATTTTTTCCCAAAGCAATTAATTCAACACAACTCTCTTTTTTGTCACGGTGTTACGCACGAGCCAAGGCAACCATTTCCGCCTTTTCACATTGAGTAAGGGCGAAGGTGCCAGGTCGGCGAACGTGATCAAAGTGACAAACTGAATTCCAAAAGCATAATCTTATGAAGAAGGCCGCTAGTTTAGGATATGAAATGTTTTTTTCCTAACTGATATAGGATCAGGTAAATTCATGGATCGGAAAAAGGGGTTTTCAGTGGTAATTTCAATGCTCTCGTACACGTCGATAACTGGATTTCTGAAAAGTTCGCACCACACACTTAATCGAAGAGGAAAGTGTCTTCAGCTCCGTTTGATACCTCTTTAGTTTCTCCAGGATGATTCACGTTGCTGCCATGCCATAGGTCATCACAAATTAAATTGTCTTGAACTAGAGTTAATCTCAATGTTTTTCGTCACTCCTGTCGCTTATCAGACAATTGATCAACTCTGCAGCTTTTCTGTGGCTAGATGTGATAATTATTGGCCAAACCGCAGAAAAATTTTATCACGTTTCCTCTCCATAAGTCGGTATTTGTACTTGTAATTAACTTTGCACGTACTTGAGGCCAGAGCGAACCACAAATTGTCGCTGTATCGTGCGTCAATGTTTGTAGACCTTTTTGAGGAAGAAACTTCTCACGTAACAACTCCGCACTGTCACAGCGCCAAACCGAGCCAGTTGTCCTCATGTCGAAGCTTTCCCGTACTAAGAAATAATCACCAACTGTTCGACGTGACGAGAATACGACTTAAAAACCTTCCTGACGTTCCTCTGTGCTGGTTTCCAGGCGTCAGTGCTGAACCAAGAGCATCTCTAAAGAGGTTATAATTAGAAGCAATTAAATCCATATTCTCTTACTGACACGCGCCGTACTCATTAATCGCTATTCAGGATGAGGCATCAATTCGTGTTACGAAATCCGCTCGTTTTTTGCGCAGCACTGTCCTGTCACCGAGTGACAGAGTTCTGGTGGGGTTGTTATCTAAAAGTGGCTCTTGGACTGTATATCTTGCATCTAACGTGCTTTATCCCTATTGATGCTCTTGTAAATCGGACAGGTTGTGACCAATTCTTCTCTGTAGGTGGTCTCAGGGGTTAAAAGTCCCAAAAACTGAGAGCAAAGTCTGTGCTTTTATTTTCTTTGTGATTATGCACTGATCAGCTTGCCTTGTTGAACCCAGGTGCAGCATTGTGTGTTGTCCGCAAGGGACTTTGCTTGGCGTCTATCACCCATAAAACAAGCGAGACGCGTCCCTATTCTTCTCCAGTCTTTGGTGGCACGCGCCGTATGTATTGTGTACTCAGTGTTTCCTATTACCATTTGTTAAATGCAAACCACACTATTTAGTTTAGCCTTTTCCTGTAAACATTTAAAATCCTTTTCGCGGCATTCTAATATGCCGCTTGTTGCTTTAATGTAAAAGCATAATAAAATCTCAGACAATGATTATTTTCGGCGCAGATATTACGGAATTGTCTGATTTCTGCAGGTGAATTTATAGATATTCAAATCCTGTGCGGCCTTTTGCCTTTTTGCCTTCTCTGCGCCGTGATCGTAAATAGCTTTAATAGTTTCGTTTATTAAATGTGTTTGAGGTAAAAATCTTCTCCGGCTTTGGCGTTGTGAATTTTCCGCTAACATGGATTATCCCTAAGCTTGATGTGCAGATGAATTGACGCGATAAAATTAAAGATATTTCCGCGCCTGCTGTAAGGGAGTTAGCGAAGACCAACTGGAAGAAACGTGATATGTCTTATCAAGGTCATTTCAAGAGTGGTGTTAAAAGATTCCAAGAAGCTAGGAATAAATTTCTTGTGGAAAATGTTTACAGTTCTCTTCTGTTTAGCCAATCCACGCCAATTTTAGAGGACATAAGTGTACCCATGGGTATCATGTTGCGTCACTAATTAATCTACGCATGCTCATTAACATTACCGCGCCTTCAACAACACCACATCTGTCTTCTGTTTTTCCATAATCACACTGAATCTTATGATTTGCAAGTGAGCTGAGCTCGCATCGCATCGACAGGGCGGCCTTTCATGTCGCACGCAGAAGAACACCAAATTTCGGCCGCAATTCCCAAGGCTACACTAAATTCTACATAGTGATTTAAGCGATGGCCGTCGGCCTGCTTCTTAAAAGTGTATTTTTCGAACTGCTACTTCAATTCATTCATGTGCAGGTAGACCTTGTGCTAGCTAAGTGGTGAATTCTCGTGTTTTGGTCAGGTGTAATGCTCACGTCTGGAAAATTTTTTGCGAGTCTGACTTATAAACGAATTTTTACTTGTGTTCCTTTTTCGCAGATTGTCACCGGAGCGGGCACATTCGAAATCCACTTGGTTTCGATACAAAATATTAGAGGTGAGAAATACGATGGTAGCTGCTGTGATGGGAGTCGCACAATATATCGAGGACAACATCAATGCCTGGACGAGTGCGACACATTCTTCAGAGTTTGTCTCAAGCAATACTCGCAATCTGTTTCGCCAACGGGTGCTTGTACATTTGGCGAGCACACAACTGCTGTATTAGGAGGGAGTTCGATCACATTTACGAACACTACATCGCCGAGTGGTTTTCGCAACCCGATTTCTTTACGCTTCGAGTTTTCATGGCTGGTAAGTCATTGTAAATCCTGTTCAATGTTATCTTAGAATACCATGGGTTTTGGTGTCACTTTGTTTGACGATTTCCGTTATTTTTTTTAAATCTGAAGAAAATTCAGCGTAATAATGTGGATTAAATTTATGCGACGTTCACGCAGATGGGATATGTTTTTCAATAATAAAAATTTAATGTAACCGCGTCTAACAGCCGCTTTTAGCCAAAAAAGAGAGAGTGCTGTAAGGAAATTATTTGGAATTTTTTTTAAAGAGATTTTTATAGGAGCTGTATTAATCGTAAATGCGACCGCTGGGAGCACGCTCCCACGAACAATCATTTCACTTGGAAGTTTGCATTTCAAAAAATCAATTCTCTCATTGGCTCTCGGAAGCCTCTCAGAGAAGCACGTTCATTTTACAGAATCGACAACTTCGTCTCAGCGAAAAATCGAAGAAATAAATACAGCTGCAACTATTTAAACAGGCCGCGCTGGGCAAAACCTGTTTCAAACTTATTTTCTCTGAGAGCATCGCATTAGAGATTTTTAAGGTTGTTTATCCTAGATTGTAGCGTAGTTTCTGGGCCACGTGTCTTCAGTTTGACAGCCTTTTGTGAGAATTATGTTAATTATGGGAGTTACGTTGTATTTGCAACACAATGATAGCTACTGACTGGAAAAATCAAAGAATCAGCGTCGAAGCCGCATGGCCGAGGCGCGAATTATTCGTTGAGTGTTTAGCTTCACCTGCAATAGAAACGAAGTGTTGTGGGCTTCCGACTTGTCAATTTCATAGATGTATATTTCAAGATATTAACGCATGCGAAATTGTTTATTTTCGACTTTCCCACGTTCACCGGGCCCTAAATAAATAATTCTCGATTCGTTACTTCGTACCTACTGGAAGTATTACAATGCAATTAAACTTTCAATTGATAGCATGCTCTAGAGAAATGACTGGTTGCCAATGGAGTTGATCTTTATTCTGTCTCCTTCAGCATTGTTTGATTTCGATTCGTGGGTTTCATGATCGACACAAGAGCCTTTTATTAACTCGGGTAGATCGCGGTGGTTTGTTGATTTCATTAAACCTCTTTTTCATCTTTTCTCTTCATTGAATAGAAGTGACACATGTGCCGAATTATGTTTTAGAAGAATACAATTCCCAGTTGACGGACTTGATGAAAATATATTTATTTCATTTCTCGTTGCGCGGGAGCGCTTTAGATTACCTTTTACAAGGAATTCCTAAGGGCTTTTGATTTTACAAAATTTGCTAGTTTGCTGTGACTGTGAAAATTGTTTGGGTCATCTAGTGTTTTTTTATTAGTTTTCTTTATATTATCTGCATGGTGTCCGATTGTGATCAAAGAATACATATCAAATTCCACTCAAAATAGATTAATCCTTTACTTATGAGACCTTGTGTTCTTTGTGGTTTTTGTCCACTGCCTGTGGCATCTTAATGCTTGTGATTATATGGTATCCATGAGGTCAGAGCATTGGAGAAAAAAGTTATCTTTTACAGTGGTACATGTCAAAATAATCTAAAATTCTGTCCATGGAATGTTTTGTAATTTCCCTTCAGCTTTATGTAAAGCATTAGAAATTGCTGTGAGATGTTTGGAATTTTGCTGTCTGCTCTTTGAATTTTGAATTAATTACAGTTTTTATTTGCTTTACTGTTTAGCATATGACTATTTGCTACAACTAAAAGCTTAGATAGGTTTTTCCAGAACCTGTAACTTTACATCATTTCATTACAAAGCTTGCAAAGTGAGTTTTATATAATTTCAAATATTTGCTGTGTCTTTTTAAGGGGACTTAATAAAGAGTTATACCTTAAAATTTGTGTGCCACTAATTAATTGTTTTGAGTCAGTCAAAAACATCCTTAGCTTATTCCTGATAACACGTAAGAAGTCAAATCATTAGTCTGCCTTAAAAGCCAAAAATGTTAAGTCCAATATAATTTTATTGTTTCTTAAAGATGTGTGTAAATTTTCTTTTTTTGATCTTTGTGCTATCAAAAATGTTGGAAATATAGATGTGTTAGATTGAAACACAAGACTTAATGTAAAGCATGAATTGCAAATAAGCCAAAATACATTATGGTTTCCTCCTTTTACCAGACTGAGATAAAATTTTGCAGTGCCTAATAACTATTTTCCAAACAATTCTTTGCTTGACACAGGTTTTTTCATTATTGTTCACAGTCTCTTAAAATAGGTTTATAGAATGAAAAAATGGATTAGTCTTATTGATTCTGCAAGTTTTGTGTTAGTTTTATTGAAAGAATAGTTTCTCTCTTCTTAGGTAAACAATTTGGGAAGAAACAGAATCAATCATATTTCTTATTTGCACTGTAGAAATTTATTCAGCTGTCAAAAGTAGCTTGGTCCATTTGTAACAAAAGAGGACTTGTGTTTGGAAGTACATGTCAGTGTTGTATTACCAGTACTTCTACAAGGCTTGCTCTTTATTGGAATATGGCTGCTAGCAGTGTGAACCTGATGATCTTAAGCCTGTGTTCGTTTCAGATGCATAAGAAATGAGAGAAGATTGCAAATTAACTTTCGAACTTAACCCCCCTTTGTAAACATTTCTAGTAAGATCCATGGGTTGCTTTTGTGACCATAAATTCTCATGTAAGCAATGTTTGAATTTACAGGTGCTATTTTCTCCCCATTTTTTCCAAATTTAATTAAGACCATAGCAGGAATAGTATCATATTATGATCTTTCCTGTGCTTACTTTGGAGGAAATTTGTCTTGTGTCACAGTTTAGCTTGAAACTAGTTCATTGATGGATCCAGTCAGAGTTTCAAAAATTTTCTTGGAACTTCTCACTAGGCTAGTGTTTCAAAGGTGTTAATCATTTATTATGAAAACTCTTGCTGGAAGCTAGCATTCCCTCAGAATTCCTAGCCAAATTTCTAAAATGTGTGCATATAACTTTACGTTCTTTGTTTTGGTATGGAACTTTGTTCTTGAATATCTTCATTTTGAAATTGAATGAAGTGAGTTTTGGAATTGTAGAATCACTCTGTCACAAAAAAAAAAAAATAAATAAAATAAATACTCTATTTAATGATGAACTTTTTCACCAAAAAAAGCTTGTTATAGAAAATATTGTAATTTGTAACTGTTTCTCTTATCAAGGAATCTCTGAATTCATATTTGCCATAGTATTTCTTGTGTTGCATTTGAGTCTCAGTCGTCTTTCTAAAAATCTTTTAACTTCAAATCTTTTGTTTGTGATAATAAGTTGAATAATAGATGACACATTAATAAATACTAAATTTTTAATCAACAGAGTAGTATAAAAATTGTTACAACTCACAGAATCTGGGACATCTTTTTTTTTCATGGAGGGGATTCAAAAGAGTGGAATTTTTAAATAAAGCAAAAAAAGAATAGAATTTGTATAGAGCAATGTTAGGTTGAGAGTAAACAACTTTGGCTAAATTTTACATACATGTATTAAATGTTATTGTCATCAAGGGTTTTAAACTTGACTTTATAGCCAAGTTCATAACTCTCATAGTTTAAGTTATCAGGAAATCTATGTGCAACTCATTTGTTTGTGTTTATTTGTAAGAACCACAACCTAAGGTGAACATGTTTTTTCACATGTTTTATACGATGGCCTCTGCTCTATATATTTTATTGAAAAATTCCTTTTTTCATAACACTTTTTTGTCTTTCACGTCCATTATGCTCTGAATGTATGACAGTGTTTGTGCTAACAAAGCTGGGAAAATACTGATTGAAAGGTTGCCTAATATTTTCAAAGCAGCTGTTGGAAGGAATTTCAAATATTTTGAAATGAGTTTCTGAAAATCCTCTGATTTATCTCTTATATGAAAAAGAAAAATTTCAAGTTTTATTCTGAATTTGTGATCATTGTTCCTTTCACATCTTTTTTTATGCCAAGAGCATTGAGTTTCTTGATTATCTGTAATTTCTCTTCATAATGTGAGTCACGTTTTAATTTTTTGAATGCTTAGTGCTGGGAAACAGCATCTATTGTGCTTGAGTTATTGTCATCACCTAACAGAAAACTTATGTGTGTCATGCAAGTGCTAAACTGGTCATATGCTGTTTTCTCTCATTTCAGACCACATACTACCTAATTCTGGAAGCATGGGATGCAGATAACTCAAGTAAGGTTCATCTCTACCTGAATGGTGCAAAGCGTATAAGACTTTTTCTTGCATGACTGAAGCCTTTCATACTTTTTAATAAATGCATTGTCCTAATGGATATCTTCATTCAATATTGTTACCATACATGAAGTTGTTATGGAAATATGCAGAAGATTGTTTTCAATCCATATCTTGGCAAGTTCTGTCTCTCAACAAAAATTAAATGAGTTATGTTATTTTAATGTGCAATCTCTCTTTTAATCCTCCTGTGGAATAAATGGAGTTTTTGTCTGTATCTATCATGAATTGCCAATATGGCACAACTTCAAATATATCTGTTTTCATGAATATTGAAGGAAACAGCAAACTCAGCTCTCCAGTTGAATGTAGTTAGAATATACTAAAAATTTACTAATACTTGGGGAGGTATTGAATGACTTTCATGTACTCTTTGTTGAATTTTTCTCAAACTTGCCTTGGGGTGAACTAAAATTATTGGGGCTTTTGCTTAACTTTAATCAACAAACTGCCTCTTTTTCCCCTATTAGGCAACCGTGAACTCATAGATAGAGCAACCCAGCGAGGTACACTACTTCCAAACAAGACATGGGTAATTCATACATACAATGGCCCTGCAGCAACAATTAGTTACAGATTAAGGGTGGTATGTGACAAATATTACTATGGGAAGACTTGTACTGAGTTGTGCAAACCACGAAATGACACATTTGGACATTATTCTTGCAATGAGAATGGGAAAAAAGTTTGTTTGCCTGGATGGAGAGGGCATTTGTGCGATACAGGTAAGTATCAACGTGCTTAAAACTGATCAGTTTCTTTACAATTGTGCCATTAAAAAGCTATAAAGTACAGGTAAACATAACATATTGTGTTTTTTTTCTTCTCTAGCAATCTGTAAAACAGGCTGTGATCCAGTGCATGGTACTTGTAGTGTTCCAGGCGAATGCAAGTAAGTGGTGACATTTTGGGGTTAATTTTTTTTTTCTTAATAAGAATAAGTCTTATTTGGTGACATGGTCATGTTACTTATCAACTGTTTTAAGTATTCATTGCAATTCAATGTTAATTTTTTTGAAATGGGTTGTGTTTGTTTCAGCTGTAACTCAGGCTGGAAAGGGGAACTTTGCGATGAATGTCGGCCCTACCCAGGCTGTTCTCATGGAACTTGCAGTCAGCCATGGCAGTGCAACTGTCAGCAGCAATGGGGTGGAATTCTTTGTGATGAAGGTAAAAGAAGCTTGTGTTCAATAGGGTTGTGTTTCATTCTTAAATCTTGTCTATCTGCCTTTGTATTGTTGTAGCTTCACAGATTTCCGGTCTGATGGTGCTTAATTTTTTGACAGATCTGAACAAATGCAGAGAAAAACCTTGTAAGAATGGAGGTATATGTTATAACACAGAAGCCAATCAGTACAGATGTGAATGTCAAGCTGGATTTACTGGGGTCAACTGCGAGACAGCAATCGACTTTTGTGGATCATCTCCTTGCAAGAATAATGGAACTTGTCATAATGATGCCACTGATTTCCGCTGTAACTGTCCGCCAGGTTGGGCTGGGCCCACTTGTGAAATAAGTAAGCTTAACTTTGCAAAGTTGGGTGTCTCAGTATTTGTTAAAATGAAATTATGTTTTTGTACAGGAATAATTCTTAAATTGTTGAATGTGTTTTTTAGGTAGGGACTGTCAAAGTCAACCTTGTCAGAATAATGGAACATGCATTAACAATGGCCAGGGTTACCAGTGTAAATGTTTACCAGGCTGGACAGGACACATGTGTGGTCAAGGTTAGTTGTTCTCCTTTTTGAACTGTTTTTTTTATTTTTTCTTCCTAATGGTCCAACAAACATTAAGGAAAAGCAAGCATATAATTGATATTAGATTAGGAAGGACTTTGACATGACCATGACCGCTCTTTCATTATTTTGTCCCTTCTCAATGTCCCATCATCTCTTCTTGCCCCTCCCTAAGGGAAATACAGACTGCTTGCAAAATTTTGGTTCCTGAACTTATTCAACAAACTAAAGAACACAGAGTTTTGTTAATTTGATCACAGGATTGTAAAACTGCCTTAATTCAATAAATTTATAATCTTATTTAATTTCAATAGACATTGATGAATGTGCAGCCAAACCATGCTCCAATGCTCTGAAGTGTGTTAATTTGGTAAATGACTATGCTTGTGAATGCAAGGAAGGATGGAAGGGTAGAAACTGCAATGAGAGTGAGTATTGTTCTTGTCTTTCCATTGCACATCCATGCAAATGTATGGCATAGTAGCATAGTATCTGCAATGCAACTAGCAACAGGAATGATTTTCATGTGGCTTGGGTATTTTCTTTTACCAGGTATCAACGATTGTGTAGGACAGTGTAGAAATGGTGGAACATGCGTGGACTTGTTGAATGATTACAAGTGTAACTGTCCCGTTGGATTTACTGGCAAGGATTGCGAGACCAATATCGATGACTGCCAGTCTATCCCATGTACTAATAGTGGAGTGTGTAAAGATGGCATTCAGAATTACAGTTGCATTTGCCAAACTGGATTTTCAGGAAAAAATTGTCAAGTTGCAGTAAATGAATGCCAGCCTTCACCTTGCGTCCATGGAACATGCACGGACTTACTTAATGACTACAAGTGTTCTTGTAGTGCAGGGTATACTGGCAGAAATTGTTCAATGTTGGCAACAACACCTAATAGTTGCGACCCATACCCTTGTCAGCATGGAGCCACATGCGTTAAAAACGCTGATGGCTCTGATATCTGTCATTGTCCTCCAGGCTACACTGGCTCATATTGTGAAACTGACATCAATGAGTGCTTGACAGCGACGTGTCATAACGGTGGTACATGTGTGGATGCAGCCAATGGATTTAAATGTGTCTGCCCAACTGGTTTTTCAGGATCAACTTGCCAAGTTGACTTAGACTCGTGCATTAGCTCGCCTTGTCATGGCTCGGCAACATGTGTTGATAAAACAGATGGCTATCAATGTATATGTGCTGCGGGATACACTGGAGTAAACTGTGATCACAATGTGAATGATTGTGGTACATTGAGTCCTTGTCGCAATGGTGGAACTTGTCTGGACAGACTCAACGGATACCAGTGTCAATGCAGGTGAGATATGAAATCAGTTACATCAATTTTGTTTTCTTTTGGCAGTTTTTAATTGCCAGAATTTACTCGCATCAGTAAGAACTGAGACGTTAAAAGAAAGATTTAAAAGAGTATCAAATATATAGAAGGCTAGTTTACAATGTTATAAAAATGCATTATCTCTGGTAGTACCGAAATTGGTATTTGACGTGTGATAAAATATCAACCTAACGACAACTCTATGGACAAGCTTACAACATGCTCTTTGTAGTCTCTAGCTAAGTTTGTAGACTGTAGATAGTTTGGGTGCAAAATCAGAACTGCCAAGAGTGCGAACCCTTCTGTAGAAACTCAGATGTTTTTTAGCGTGCATGCACTTGTGTTGAACATTTGCCCACATGTTTTGTTGTTGCGATTGTTATTGCAGGCCAGAGTTTACTGGAGCTGAATGTGATGTCCCCATTAACAAATGCACCAACGAATCTTGTGTTAACAATGGCACATGCAGCCAAGGTGTTGGAATGATCACTTGTAGTTGCCCCACTGGCTTTACTGGACAGAGATGTGAAACTGAGATTGATGCCTGTGACTCCAATCCGTGTCACAATGGCGCGACATGTCAAAAGATTGGTGTTAGTTATGCCTGTTCATGTGCAGTTGGTTTCTCTGGGCCTAACTGCGCAACGCGAATCGATTACTGTGCTAATGTCACTTGTACCAATGGTGGTACATGCAACAATATTGCAGGAAAAGCTTCTTGTAGCTGTTTGCCTGGGTTTGCGGGATTACGATGTGAAATCAATATCGACGAGTGTCATTCTAGTCCATGTCGCAATGGAGGTAGCTGCGTAGACAAGGACAACAGTTTTCATTGTGTATGTCCAGCAGGAACTCGGGGAGACGTTTGCGATCAAGGTAAATTCGTAAAAATTATCACCATGTTCTATGCTGTGTTGATGTCTGAATAGCAAGTCAGCTTGTTGGTCTCTATCGATGCATCCATGAAGTTTCCCAACGTCAAAAACCCATTTTCTTTACTACAAAATTTCGATATATAAATTCTATATCTTACTCATGTTATTTCTGTTTTAATTTTTATTAGTGATCGATCCATGCTTGGAGCCTGTTTTAGTGAATGGATCCTCATTTTTGAGAGATTCCGGCGTATGTGGAGCTTATGGTACCTGTGAAAATGTCGGTGTGGGAAAATTTAGATGCAAATGTGACAAAGAGCATACTGGAAACCACTGTCACTTAAGTAAGTGCGTGTGTAAGGAGATGTATGTTAAGGTGGTATGTAGGCGATCACATCTATTTCTTTGTTCTGATGTGAAAATTGATTCTGATGTAAAGATCATTTCCCTCGTTAGAAATTGACCATTGCAAGAATCACACTTGTAAAAATGGAGCAAGTTGTCTCGATGGCGATGGAAATTATACATGTGTATGTGGCGATGGCTGGGAGGGCGTCTACTGTGAAAAAGGTATTCAAGTGTTTTGTTCTTTAATTTATTGTGTTTACAACTCCATTTATTTTTTTGAAGAGAATCAATTGGACAGGGAAAATCATCTGAAAGAGAATCAGCTTTTTTCATTGAATCAAGGCCCCAGAAATCGTACGAAGCATATTTTGTTACTGTTTTGAACACTGCCGTACTACACTGCTCCTTTTTTGAGAGAATATGATTCAGTCGCCTCATAAAGTCGTTGTAAAATGTTTACGCTATGATTTCCTACTCCTCGTCTTCTGGGAAGCGTTATTTATGTACCAATTTTTTTTTTTATTTGCAATATCTTACGCTTGTATCTTGTTCACTCTTTCTTTAACAGATATTGATGAGTGTAACTCGAATCCTTGTCGAAATGGCGGGAACTGTACTGACCTAGTCAACGGATATGTTTGCAAATGTCCCCACCCGTGGAAAGGACAAATGTGTCAATCAAGTAAGAACGTGTGACGTTTTGCATGATAAATAAGATCCGGAATTTGAGAATTTCAATTTTTGTTTGTAATTGCTTACACTGGATGTTAATTTTGTTTGAGTGTAATTTAAAATTTCTGTAAAAAATGTCAACAGCAACATCGCACTGTGATGGCAATCCTTGTCAAAATGGAGGGTTATGCACCGATACAGGAGACGATTTTCAATGTAGTTGTCAAAACGGATTTTCAGGAAGGATCTGTCAATTAGGTAAGACGTTCTACAAGATTTATCATCGTTTTTTATTTTATCGACGTTCTTTGTTTTCTTTGTTTCATTATTTCATTGACATGATTTTTTTAAAACTGGTGGTGTATTGAGACTTGTTTTTCAACCACCCGTGGAAAAATGATCGATAACATTGTGATGAATGAGTTTGGACAGCACAGCTCACAACTCCCTTTTTCGTTGTTTCAAAGAACCCTATTGTTTTGCTAATGAACACCTGTTGTTCTGTTCATTCGTTTTGTGGCTTTATTGTCGTATCACACAAATCAAACGCGGCAACATGTGCGCTTCAATTGGTCTCCACACATCGCGATCTCTTTTAGAAACCTTCTGTTGCATCTACTCTTGAGTGTTCTTTCAAAGCGTGATCTTTTGATTAAAATAAAGGGCGCGTTCCCCAGAACGTGCGCAGCATTTGGAGTATTCTAAACGGATGGAACCGCAAATGCGTGTAATTGAATTTACAATGGCTAATGATACGCCTTTCCATTGAGATCATGTTAAGATCTAAATGACGATGTCTGCACATTTTCATTAAGTTCTTGATGTGCCTATTGTTTGTGCCCGATGTTTTCTGTTACTGACGCAAGTGGAAGCGTGTTTGATGCCATCTCCGGTCCAATTTCATCACAGCGTTTTAAGCTCAATCTTTCAAATTAAAATCACAGCTAAGATGGTAATCTGCAAATTACACTTGACAAAAATTTTACCATCAAGGTAGCCATGGATTGGGCGACAAACATTCTGTTATTTAGATAAGAAAGTGATTATGGACTAAATACACAGAGTGCCCATATTTTTTTGGCGTCATAGCTTTAGCTTATAATATTATGTACGGAAACATTTTAGGCACAGCCTGTCGGCCGTTTTTCTTATATTGTTTACTGTTTCGGTTCGGAAATGTTAAAAGCTTTCTGAAGTTGAAAAAAAAGTTCAATTAAAATTGCCTTTTAGATAGAGTATTTTTTAAAAGTGGCAGCACACGTGCGTGATAGTTTGTGTTGTATTGTTTTCCTTTTTGTCTAGCACCCAAGCCCTGCTCGTCCGAACCTTGTCAGAATGGTGCAACTTGTTTGAATGCAGGCGATGGAGAGAGTTTTTCGTGTGTCTGCAAAGATGCATGGGAAGGAAACCTGTGTGAGAAGAGTAAGTAGAGCATTGCGCATTTGTGCAATAAAATTCTGCGTTCTCTCTTGCTCTCTTCTTGTGTTGGAAGTGCACAACTTCCCAACGTTAAGCCTTAGCGCTTGAACATCGGTATCTATATTCTCTATACTGTTTTACAAACATTTTCTATGTTGCTGACGTGGAGAATTTGCTCACCTATTTAGAACTTACTTACGGAGAATTGAGATGCTAGTAACTCTTGAAAAGAATTTGCATTTATAAATCTCTCTACACGCACATATAAACCTGTTTCCCACGCACCCCTGGTAAGCTCAAGAAATGTTATGCTTATATTGGAGGTGCCGAGTTGAATTAATTTTTCATGGCCTTTGTTCTACTTTTAGATGTCGACGACTGTGCATCCAATCCTTGCCACAATGAAGGCACGTGCATCGATGGTGAGGGCTGGGTCCTCTGCTCATGCGCGCCCGGATTTACGGGACCAGATTGTAAAATCAACATCAACGAATGTAACTCGTCTCCGTGCAGCGGTGGTGCAACTTGTAAAGATAAAATCAACGGCTTTAAATGTATCTGCCCGCCAGGAAAGTTTGGAGATCGTTGCCAAGGTAAGAGTTTGAACAACTTGATAGTTGAAAGCATGGATGGCCTCATTTGCATGACGTATTGCTTAAGTGAACTTCACTTTCATTTCGTTGTTCCTTAAATAATTTGTTCGAAATTTATTCCATCAGATGACGAACATGATAAGAAACACTGTAAGCTGAAAGACGGCGGTATTCAGCGTCACAACACCACCGTGCCAAAAGACTGTAACTCGTGTACGTGCCTGTATGGCGTGCTGCACTGCACTGGAATTGACTGTGGTGTTCCAAATTGCTTGAATCGTACCCAGGCTGGCAGCTGCCCCACTGGCGCGAAATGCGTGCCTAAGGTGGCGGCGGAGTGCCTCAGCCCTCCTTGTGGTCGATGGGGAGAATGTCAAGGTGGATCAACTGCCAAGATTATTACCGGAATAAATGAAGGCGCGTGCCTTCCCAATAGTACCTATTTGAATGGGGACTGTGCCAAGATTCACATTGTGTTCCAAGTGGATAAGCTTCCCAAGGTCAGTTGAGCAAGGTTTAGTTGTATTTGCTACGGAAGGGTATGATGCGGGCTGATTGTTTGAGTTCAAGCCTCGGGAGGGTTAAATAGTTCAGTGTAGTACACGGTAGCCTCTATCGCAGCTGTCGTTTGGTCTCGTTGGAGGGAGAGCGCGTTGCGTGACGAGACCAAACAACGGTTCTGAAGGAGACTTGCTGCAAAGTAGATCCATGCAAACAACACGGAAATAAGTCCCTGAAGTTATAGGCGATGGATTTTCCATCACGATATCAAAGCTCATTCTAAATGTGTTGGATTCTCTTTCAACAGGGAACCCTTGTGGAAGAACTTTGCCATCAGTTGCGTTATCTACCAATGTTGAAAAAATGGGCAGAGAAGGCAAGACTTCGACTGCTCTGTGAAGGCCGAGGGAAAGACGGATCAACATCAACTGTCATTGTATCAGTGGTAAGTGTAACTGTTGTTACCGAAGGATTTTATGAGTTCTCTTTAAGTTTTGTATGTTTTTCTCATAATTTTTTTTAGGCACGCTGGTCAGGCGCAAACGTTTTATCTTCCTTTCTTTTAGCCAGAAACAGCAGTGCTTAGATATTGTTACTGTCTCTTGCAGGCCAGCACTCCGCGAACGGAAGTAGCTGAAAAGGCGGCCATTGATATCGCCCGATACATACGGTCCGTGCCATCTGAAAAAGGCCGTGAAATAAATATCACTCTTTACAACGTGCTCATAGCTGTGGATGAAGTCACTGTGGAAAGATCTGTTTCTCTTTCCTACCACGAAGAGGAAGGTGAGAGATGTAAGAGTGAAGGAAATTCCAGGATAGGACATGACCGACTTAAAGCGAAGTAAAACGAAACCCAAAGTATAGTCACACGGCCAATCAGAACAATGGATGATATTATTAGTAGGCTATGAAAACATCACGTGCGCGGCAAAACGGGCGTAATCGAGTGGGTATTGGCTCTAGTTTTTCGTCTGATTGGTTGAGAAGGTGGCGCGAAGTTTTAAGACCAATAACTAAACGTAGTAAGGGATAACCGACGTAATTCTAGTTTAATTTTGAAACTCAAGTTCACGTTTTGAAGAAAATTAGTTGAACAACAGCCAACTTACGAGGTCTAACTCCGTTTGTTATTCTCTTAACAGCCGCACCGGACTACCTCATTCCTTTGATTGCATCACTCGTGGTGTTGGCGGCCATTCTTTTGCTAATACTGTGCATCAGAGGAAAGTGGAGGGAAAGTAGACGAGCGAAAAGAGAAAATCGTTTAGCTGCAAGGCCTACTTTGAAAAAGAAACGAAATACAACGCAGGAGAAGCCGTTGACTACTGCTAGAACTTACTATAATCAGACTTCCACCGAGTCTACGGCGTCTTCGTCGTCGACATCCACGTCGACGCGTTCAACGGAGTTAAGAAACTTTGAATACAATCGGGCGAGTTTGCTCGACTCCACGCCCTCTGTGTGTTCTACTCCACAAGTTTTGTCCCCGCCCCTCTCCCCCAAGGAGGAAGGCGCTAAAGACGAATGGAGGAGATTTCGGGTGCAAAGGAACAGTACACAAATAGAAATAATCGTATAAGTAATTATTAGTGATTATTATATATCCTTCCATGAATAATTTAAAGAAAGGAATGAAACAATTCACACTGTTATTAATTTATTGTACCCACGAAAAAAAAAAGTGTAGCTTTTGAAAGCAATTTTATAACTCCAACAGTTAAAATTCGGCGGCTAGAAAATTTATTTATCAAAAGACAAATGTTTTTAGGCATCAGTAAATATCTGGTGATGGTTCTGTTGAGAGGCCGACTTGTAAATAATACAACAAGAAAAAAGAAGTATTTAAATGGTTTTTAACGCTGTAAATATGTAAACAATTAATTTAATATTTAAATGGCCATGTAGTTCGATATGAACGAAGGTGAGTCCAACACATTATTGTGTAAAAACGTATACTTCTCAACGATTTAATGTTGGTTCGAGTTAGCTGTTAACAGTTAAGAGTAAGTTTTGAAAAATGCATTTTGTAGCCACATAGTTTTTTAAAAATAACTTTAAAGATAGGCTGTAGAACAGTTTTCCTTGTTTACTTAACTGTAACCTTCCGTGGGTTTGTTGACAAGGGAAACTTGCCAAATTATTTTATATAGAACGAGGCTGCAGGCCACTCCGACTGGAATTTTTCTAAAAGTAAAAGTAAATTTGTTAAAGGTTTCGAATGGCCCTAGAATATTTTTGTAAATTTTTCAGTTCGGACCCGTCTGTTTGGGCCTGACTTCTAAAACCGCCAAGTTTATAAGCTTACGTTTGGTGTTTTTTTTTTTGTTTATCGTATGATTTGTACATCTGCTTATCTGGTCTGCTAAGCCTCGTTATTCTCGCATCTATCTTTCAATATTTGTGTGTTCACTATCCCATAGTAACCGTAGTGTTTCGTCATTTCATCATAGCTGGTCACGTAAACGTTACGTGACTCACTCTTGGTCACATTCGCATCGCATGGCCTAAATGCATTTAAATTGCTCGAGTATCAAATCAAGACTATTTCATTTAATAACAGAGTGAAATTATACGAAATGTGAACACACTTTCATGCTTATCTAATACGCAAGGCTTAATCGTAAGTGAAGTCCCGTTGCTCGTGGAAATCCGAAAAAAAATACGAATGCTTACTAACTCACTAGTGTTTCATTAAAAAAAATACTGACGATTTCTCCTTGCAACGAGATCCGCTTGCGAATTTATAATGTAGCCATTTGCAGTGCGTTCAATTGTACCTGAGTGCTATATAGAGTATATATTTGCCCGTAAAAACTGACTATAAGCGGCAAAAACTTGCAGTGCAAAATTCAAACCTACTTAAATAATAATTATTGTTATTATTATTGTAAAATAATTTCAGCCTGGTAAAATGTCAGCTTCTTAACCTTTAATCAATCTAAAGTGCCCGCCGGCGCCAACGGTTAAGTTTCTCTCGTTACTCACGAGAGGCTAATTTTTCAAACCTGGCTGCTTAAGTTTGCTTGAGTTCTTGTTCATGGCATTAATAAACACAGTTATCGACCATAACTGCCTACTGTACTTACTTGACATTAAAATATAATCAGGAAAGCGAGAAAGTGTGAAGCCTTGGGTTAACGTGACATCTGCAAAGGGTTTAGCAAACCCCCAACAAACCCCTCCCCGGCTCGTTTAAAATCTTCTGGGGGCGGAGAAACGTGCATATTGCAGCGCCGATGATGAGGGCTTGCTCGCAAGCTACGAAACGCTATTTCCTATCGAATTACATCTTCCCCAAGTACACACATACGTACACTATACGCATATTTTTTCGGGGTGAGGAGTAGAAACACCAGTTCCTCTGATATCAATATTTCTGCAACTCCTTAAGATAAACTAACAGTCTAACTCAGTCTGCCGAACAGGTTTAACTTTTTTCCAAGGGCGAGTGGAGGCAAACGTCCGGAGTTGCGCAAGAGGAGCATTATTTTTTATAACATAGCGCGCGTGCTTGCCCTATATAAGCCCTATTGAGCCGCTATGAACAAAATCTTCATTTACGCACGACCGTGCGTAAATAAGATGATGTGAGCAATGCAATGTTCGCAGCCAACCCGAGTCTTCTGCAGTAGCCATAACTGTACGTCAAAATAACAGTGTGGTGGTTGCCTAGGAGAAAACTGCAAGTTTCCTGCAGTCTGCCTTCTCCAATTGTGCCGTGCACGGCAGCGTAAACATTATTTTGATCAATCAAAACCCTTTATAACTTCGGGTCTTTGACTTTTAAAACATTTTTTAGTGTCACTTGATTTCATTTGGCTTTGATTTTCTCCATTTTCCCCGTAGATTTTGTGCTTCTCATTTACTGTTATCGATTGACTGGCTCTAATGTTCATGCTCAAACTAAGTATGAAGTGTGGCGTGTTTTTGACCAGCCAATAGCGACGTTTGTTTACTTTTTTTTGTGCGTTGTGAGAATTTTGCTCTCTATCGCAATAAAAGGCTTCTTCGCGCAGTTGTCGCTCTGTTATAAAAGAATTTGCTCATGCTTTTAGCTGTGCGTATATCGAGTTATGGATGCACCTGGGAAGTTTGGAGAGTACTCAAAAAGCTAGAGTTGCGCTCGGTTGCGCCTCGAGCTACTCTTACGCATTTTCCGTGCCCTCCAAACTTCCCGCGTGTATCCATAACTCGATATACGTACGCTAAGCATGAACAAATTCTTAATTTGCCTTGCGCTTGTCATATGCTAATCTCGCGCATGTATCGCGCGTACATTTTACTTGCCCTTTGCCCTTCAATGCATGCTAGCCAGGAGAACGCTGAAACGACGCCTGTTCCGCTGTCTAAGTATAAATTTCACTGCGGGTAAAAAGTCACACCTTGTATGGTCCTCTGCTTATTGCCCTTTCATGACTCACAGGGGATGGGAGACCCACAACAACAACAACAACAACAACAACAACGACAACAACAACAAAAATGTTTTTATTGACTTAATATAGCCTAAATTAAATTATAACAATTATTTGATTACAGTGTTGATCAAAATTATTTACTTGATATTAAAATTGTAGTGTTGAGTTGTGAAACTAGGAGGCAAAGTTATAATCAACCAAAGTTTTTCTTGTTATCATATAGCTACCCGGACAGTATTGTTGAAACTGCTAAGCTAAACGTTCTATAATTTTCAACCTTCGCTGATGTATCTTACTCTGCCCAGCCCCTTTCTCGCTTTCAATTATTGTTGTTTAATACAGAGTCATTTTTCCACGGCAAACACGACCCGGTACATTTAAGAGGAAAATATTAAAAACGCTGACAAGGGAGGTAACGAATAATTAATTATAAATGGAGAAGTAAAGCTATCTTAGGCATGCTAGCAATTTGTGTTGATAGTTTTTGCCTTCCAATGCAAGTAGCAAGTAGTTTTGTACAGGAATGCACTCCTCGAAACTGTGATACAGAGCTAAACCATACAACGTTAACTTCTTTCTAGACTCCTGCCTCTTTACATAAGTTAAAATCAGTACCCAGCCCTACTCGGGAAACGTCCCAATATAGCCTGTTATAATAAAAAAAAAAAACAATCAAGTGTCGTTCAATCAAAATCAGAGTAATCACAATGGCCAATCAGAAGAAAGGAAAATACCTTAAGAGCCAATGAGAACACAAAGTAAAAACAACAAAACTGCCTTAAGCGCGGGAAAACACGGGTGACCAAATTGTGATTGGTTTAGGTTTGCATTTGATTGGTTGAGATAGTTGGCACAAGTTTTTTGGACCAATCACAGAGAAAAGTAAAGGAAAATTGATGCAATGTCGGATTTACTCTCAATATATAAAAAAAACTGCTGTGGTCTATAGGATCGCTAGCCGGTATAAAACCTCAATGTAAACGTTGACACTGAGATAAAAACGATAAGTTAGAGTAGCGATACGACTCACCCTTTATATACCCTTTTACGCAGAGTGAAGCAATCGTTTATAAGTCTTTGTTAAAATGTGTGGAAAATTTCCGAAAATTTATGCGAAATGCTTTACAAAAGCCTTTTTGATCGGTTGAGTTTTGGATATAAATTAGTGAAATGGGTTTAAAAACCTTTTTCGTTCTCGTTACATTTTAGTTAATTTGCCATTTTAGTCAATTTTCATATTGTAAGCGTTTTTATCAATTTTTTAAATATTTCATCTTGTAACAATTGATATGTACTTTTTAACAAACGAATACAAACACATAAGATAAGACATGCCTACTACTCTTGGGTCGGACAAACCGGTAGGACTGGGTCTGAATATTACTGAGTGAAGAGACAAATGTTGGAAGGCTGGGTATGAGTGCATGGTAAAATGTCCGAACTTATTACTTGCGATCTGTTGTTGGGCATAACTTTGTCATTGTTTGAAACATAGAAACAAAAATTATCCGTGATATTGTTTGTAACTTCGGATCTTCTCTTCTTGAACGTCTGGTAAGTGACTTCTTGGGTTTGGAGCCATTGTTCGAATTCGCTTGATGCTTAAAATTACTTCGATCTCGTGGCGTAACCTTCTAAAAGCGTTCTGCACACTTTTGTTAGGTTTTCAGGTATTCATTGTTAATTTTTGGTGTACTTTGATACATATTCTTCCACATTTATATTTATAATTTGCCTAAATTTTGGTCCAAACTGGTCATCAATGAGTAATATTTCAGAAGAATTCATAAATCAACACGTTACTTTTGACAGAAATCAGCATGAAATTACACGCGCTACATGCACTGCACACGCTTATTGTTCATGTAGGGTTCGTGAGATAAATTTTATCCCCTCATCAGAATACTACTTGATGCCGTTTTAAAGGTATTCATTTTTAATTAACCTTAGTGGTAGCCTTTGTTTGAGATCTTACAGTTATATCCAAACAGCAAGCCTTTAGCCCAACCCATCCTGGCACTGTAAGGAGAAGCTATATTTTATTTATATTTTTCGTTGCTTGAAAAAGAGATAATAACGATCATTTCACCTGTTGCCAAATTCCTCCTGTAATTGATAGCCTGTGCATAAGGGACTGTGGAGTTGGATAGTTGGGGTCTGCAATATCTT